AACCAAAAAACTCAAATCCAATTTGTAGCAAATGTATCAATATTTTATGTAATATATTTATCCTGTGTTATAGATTTTGCAAAAATCTAACTATATTGTCTTCCACCTCGAAAAGTTTATAAATTCTATTTAAAATGGAAAATACCTGTTAGGTAACTCAATTTGAGTGAACGTTGGTGAGAGCATTTTGGTGTCTATTCCTTCATTTGTCTATGATTATGCTTCTTCAAAATCATAAATTTAATTTAAAACCTTAGTATTTTATCATTTATCATTGAAATACTTTCCCATCTAGATTGCTTCTCAGAAGCAGAAATATTTTATTTTATTAAAATATTAATTATAAATTTTGCTGCGGAATTTAGAAAATAATTGAATTAATACCACCTAACAATATATTTGAAAAAAATCTAATTCAAATCTTTAAATATCTAAATATAAGATAAAATAAACTTAAATCACATTCAAAATAAACGACTCAATTATCAAATACTCGGCAGTTATATATTTACTTTATACGTTAAAGTGGTTTGAGATTACTATTTCTACTACTGTAGAATAACACCCAAAACTGCATTTTTTACACAACATGACGTCTACTATAGCGAACAATTGTGCATCATTAACTCGAAAATCACGTTTTTTTGAGTTATGCCTCTTTGCAGCAAATGAGCGATATGTCGACTATAGCAAAACGACGACGTCGGCAGAGACATATTTTCAAAAATACAAATATAAGATTAAAATATATTTAATTTTAAATAAACCTAAATTTTTCCCAAATTAATGAACTTGACTTGATTATTTTTTATGCAGAGATAGATGACAATATTATTGAAGATTATTCTAGGTAATTTTCCTATTTAGTGATAGCATACAAGAAATGCCGACTACTGGTACAAGACGACATTAGAAACATCATATACATACGATACATATATAATTTAGTGACCTATCCCAATTTATTTGAAATTTTGTGTGTGTCCAAGAAATTGTGTGTAAATTAGTGACGCACATATAGAATCATGCTGATAAAAACGTGGAGTCCGAAAAGAATGATGGAATGTGTTACTAAGCAGTTTATATCATAATAACCACGTGGATTTATTAAATTATTAGTTTATTTACAATCACAGAAACAAATAATTTTGTTTAGATGTATTGGGTCAATAGTCCGCCATTATTGACAAGAAAACAACGTGTTCCAAGGGGAATATGAATTTCATTTTGCTTTTAATTAAAAAATTCAAAGAAGGAAGAAGAAGGTAAACCTAATCATCAAAGTAATTATATTGTATATGAATTTAAGTGGTTTCCGCTTCGTTGAGCATTTTCCAGTAAAAATACAAATAGTTAGCAAAAACATGTTTTAATTTTGTCTTTAATGGTCGGATAACTATTAGGAATTATGGTTCCTCATAAACAAATTTAGCGGCCCATCCCCAACTCATTTGAAAATTAGTGCAAATACAAGAAGTCTGCGTCATACGTAAATTCATACGTTTCCAATATCCCGGGCAAAAAGACCCGTTGTACAATTTGTTCAAATATTAAATATTTGTATCATAAAATTATGAGACTTATTATGACATTAGAAAATCTTTTCCAGCGTAAATGTTTATTCTAAAAAAAGTTTGTGCTATTAAATTTTAATAATTTATTCGAAATTGCTCAAGTTCCTTTGTGTCCCATATTAGTAAAATATTTGAAATACTTGGATTATTATTATATCCCTCTTAGTTCATTTTTTAAAAATGTCCTTTAGCCCATATGGAGGTTTCAACGTTGCTATATACTTCTTTGGTTCTTAATATTGATTCCCGAACCGGAATTTCTGACATAACTTTCCAAAAAGCCGATCCCTAACTTTCGGTTATATGTGACCTTATTCCATAGATTTTGATTACTTGTATGCATACCACCCTTTCTGCATGCTGCAGAAGGCCCATCTCGTCCAGAGGATTTATAGGGCTGAATGCTGTTTATTGTTCATACCAGAGTTCTATTAAATTATTATTGAAAAATAGCAAACAATAATCAGCCAATATTATACTTATACAAGAAAGATTTGAGTTAGTCTCCATCATGAATTTGATTTTCTTTTTGATGTGTATTAATAAGAGGTAAACATAAATATATGAGGTTTCTGTCAGGCTATATTATTTGCCAATACCAAATAAAAAAAATAACAAAGCGAACTCAGTATTTATAGCTATAATTTGAGATTAGCAACAATATCCCGGGCAAAAGGACGTTTCGAAAATTTTTTAAAAAATTTCACAATTTCATTGAAAATATCTAAAACCCACAAAAATACAATACACCTAGAATATCCTATATGATAACATTAGAATATTCTGATCTGAATGTTCATTTCAAGAAAAGTTTTCTCAAAAAACTAAACGAACTCAGTATTTTTGACATAATTTTGGGATTAGCAACAATATCCCGGGCAAAAAATTTTGTCGAACTATTTGTTAACCATTTCCGTATGCGAAAAAATGCGGAAATCTTAAAAAAATAATATTAATAAAAATAAGGCAAACAGAAATCATATATAATGGGTTTTTAATTATGATAGAATATCCTGATTTTCATAAATGTTTATAGTAAGAGAAGAAGAATTTATCCATATGGAGGTTTGCACGTTGCAATCTACTTGTATGGTTGTTAATAACATCCGGGAATCGATGTTATTATGGGTTCAAATAAATTTTCTGACATATCTTTCCAAAAAGCCCTTTCAGTGCATCTGCAGTACGGCTGGTATTAGCCATCAGGTCTACAGGATTTATATGATTTAAAGCTATTTATTGTCCATACCAGTTTTAGAGTATCTAATAAGCAATTCTGTTAAATTATTTTTGAAATATGTTCGAATGTGTTACATATTATATCATAACCACGTGTATTTTTTAATAATTAGTGGCCTTAGTAACAAACAATAATAATAATAATTTTTAGTTTTTAATTTTTTTTCTATGGCCTCGCAAGCGAGGTATTGTTAGGAGTAGTTCTTGCCTTCTGAAGTGTCATAAGTTTATTTTCGTAATTAGATATTATTTACTATTAAGTTCTAATAATTTTAATATTCATTTACAAATTTAATATTCGAAGCATATTATACATAATAAAGATTTAACAACAATAATCCGTCCTATTACACATATAAGAAAAATTTGGGATAGTCCCCATCAAGAATTTGATTTCGTTTAGATTTGTATTAATAAGAGGTAAACATAAATATAATAGGTTTCTGTCAGTCTAAATTATTTACCATTATCACAAATAAAAAAGAGTATTAGTATTTTAGCCAAAATTTTTTAAAGCAAACTGAGAAGTTCCTGACGAAACTTTAATTATATTAGAATATTCTGATCTTTGTTTAATTTACGAAAAGTTTGTTCTTAAAAATAATAAGAACAATTAAAAAAAACCATTAATAATTGTAAATAAAACCCTATACACCAAAAAGTAAACAAAAATATATGAGACTTCCATCAAGCTATATTATTTACCAATCAAAAAACAATGCGAACTCTGTATTTTTTGGCTATATTTTGAGATTAGCAATATCCCTGGCAAAAAGACCTTTCCAAAAATTTGTAAAAATGTCAAGATTACTATAAAGAAATCTATTAAAAAAAACAGAAATAAGGTAGAACGAGAACCTATATGTTGAGGCTTTAAACGACATATACATTAGAACTTTTTACCGGGTTAACCTACTTTATGAGGATTTATTTGACATATATACAAAGGAATTGACAATTGAAATCCACTGGGTTAACGAAATCCAGTTAAATGTAAACGTACTACTAATTATGGTATTAAAATATCCTGATTTTGGTGAATGTTTATTTCGAGAAAAAATTTTTCTTAACAACAAATCTTCACGGAAATGTCCAGTATTAATCATATTCATGAATTATAAGAAGTTATTCAGATCAATAAACAACATTTACATGACACCTTACATTGATAACATATTTGAAATATCTTGCAATATTTTTCTCGTTTTACACTTTGAGAAAATGCGTGACGACCATATGGAGCTTCCTTGTGGAAACCACTTTGTTAATACAATTGATTATTGCCTAGCCAATGGACCTTCGAACAACACAATTATTGCTGTCATCTAACTACTCGTAATTACTAGACCCATAAGTAGCCCATTTTTGAATATTTAAAATTTTTGAGTACTGGATAATTTTGATGTTGTCCAAAAACTTGTGCTGCTATGCTCTAATAGTTTATAATCCTTCCATTTCTCTGATTCCATATTTTTTCTACAAATTGCATCTCCACAATATTTCGAATAAACGCCGGTGGCCTCTATGTTGTATTCCATGATCTCACTATTAGTCCGAATGTGTCTGTCCCCATTATACACAACCAAGTATGAAATCACCATATACACCATACAAAAACATTGAGGTTATAAACGATGACAACGTGGTGCCTATACCAATACACACACAATCTAATGTGCTCCAAATACACAGTTTGTGTTTTTTTTATCCATTTGCCCAACTCCATTCTCTATTAACCAGACGAGACCCCACAAAATAAATGAATACACATTTTTGCAAAATTTTCACTTCAAGTAAAAATCCAAAGATTTTACTCTTTATTTCTTCAGTTTAAAACATCAATTACAACAAAAATATTGTAATATCTGCTGCTTTCGAAACATGACGTGGACCATCATCACACAGTGACAATGGGGTGCGTACAAAAAATTTATAACTTGAAGCTTCCCATTTGTGTTTACGGAATACTGTAATGGAAAATAGAAAAAGAAAAAAAAAAGAATTAGTTAATTTGAATACAATAGGAAGAGGGAATAGAATTTTCAAACTTCAAAGCACAGAAAATATTTTGCGGTTAAACACACATTGCAAGCATTGTCTGGGCTTTGAAATCTAATTTAAATCAATATTGAATGATTCCAATTATTGATGGGATGGATATATAGATACTTACATTGTATTAGCGGGGTTTTCCAGTATCAATTTATTTGGACCTTGCACGCATCTTTCTGCGCTTACGCTTCAACCTTCGCATACGCTTCTTACGCCACTATAAATAAAAAGAAAATAATACAATTAATTAAATGCACCACGACAAGTAGAAACAAAAAGAAATATTTTATTCTCTACAACACAATTTGCACCACAAATAAAAGAAGTGTTGAAAAATCCAATGCGCAATTTCCATGAAATATCTTTGCAATCCACATAGTTTTCCAAAATTTCACATTGTTTTCATTAATTAATCCATTTTATTTGTAATGCACATTGTTTATTTTTCTTCAATTGTATAGTTCTTTTTTATTGTATTGTTGCACTTTCAATAGAAACACATTTTTTCCTTTAAATATTCTTTTTTCAATTTTAAATTACCTTAGCTCTCATAATGCTTCTATACTCGAAGACGACTGAGAACGAAAGAAAGATTCGGCGGAAGTTCTTCTATTCGTTGACTTTTGTCAAAGATGGTTACCATCGGAGGCAGGGTTGATTACATGCGCAGTGTTGATAAAATAGGTATACCAAAATGGTTACTTGTGTGCTGGTGGTTGGCAATGCGATTTGTGACCTCATTGGTCAGCACGTGTTGTGAGTAACAATGGTGAAATGTAGATGGCGCTTCGCAACAGACTGTGTGTTATGAAATAGAAATGTGAAAGAATAGATTATTTAATGATTTCAAATAATATAAATAAATTATATTGCCATTATTTGTGTAAATTTTAAACTATATTTTGTTGAAAAACTTTCAACTTGAAAAACTTTCAATCAAATTTCAGAGAATGCTTTAAGTGTAAACCAATAAGGAAAGAAGTAAAGTCGGACGGGGCCGACTATATGATACCCTTCACCACTTTGGGTATATTCAACAGATGAATCCTAACAGACGTTGAGGGACCATATTCACAAAAATGGATCCATAAACATGTCATTCTGCAACCTATGCTAAATTTTTCATTTGGTCAGATATAGAGTTGCTATAGATATAGTATATATATGCAAATCGAAAAATATATATTGACTTTGGTGCACCATTTACATTAAATCGGACGAAAATATATATGTGAGCTATATCTAAATCTGGACCGATTTTCAGTAAACTTAACACACATCATTCTAGACCTAATTCTTTACGCTTTGCCAAATTTCGCGCAAATCGAGAGATATATAGGGATTTTGGTGCACCATTTACATTAAATCGGACGAAAATATATTTTTCCCAATTTCAATAGGGTTCGTCCTTGGGCCAAATAAGTGACCTGTGCCGAATTTCATCCAAATCGGATCATAAATGCGACCTGTACTTTGTTCACAAAAATACATGGACGGACGGTCGAACGGACATGCATAAATCGACTCAGAAAGTGATTCTATGCATATTCTTAAAAGGAACCATGGGTCTGTCTCGATTATTTTTGCCTGCTACAAACATATGCACAAAGACATAATACCCTGTACCACAGTGTGGTGAAAAAAAGTGTATAAAAAGGAACTAAAAAGGGGTCAGTTGGTGTTGCCGATATATATATATATATATGGGCAATATTGCCAATTTTTTAATATTCCATTTTCAAAAAATCGGTTTTTTTGTTTTCGTGGTACATCAATGATATTTTGTACACATATAGAGAAAAATATTCTGACTCCGAAACCGTTCGCGATCAAATGTTTGGTTGATGCGCGCAAAAGTTATATACGTTTTAATTTTGGGCGTAAGGAAAAGATCTTAAAATTACGCCGTTTATTATATTGACCAAAAACGTTCATATATATCTTCCTTCGTAAAATAAGAATATGGATATATTATAATAATCGCGAAAAAGTTGCACATCTTCGCGAAATATGAGAAAAATAATAAAAATATAGGAGACTAGCATATACCCGCTACTTCGTCAGCGAATGTGGGAAGTATTTAAAACCCAATACCAACCAATATTAACACCTTTAAAGCCGTTTAGTACCAATGTTCTCTTATAGTACTCAACCCTACATACAAATTCTGACCGCAAAATAAATCAAGCACTATACAAAATTTGGTGTCATTTAGTTAAATTTCCAAATTTCAAATATAGCTTCACTCAAATCCAAATTAAGTACCAGTTAGTAAACATAAATATATAAATTGTCATAACTTCATACATTAACATACGAATTTCCAACACTTCCCACATACCCCAATCTTAATATCAAATTTCAGGATTCTATCGGTTCACCTAAATCCAATTTGTTTCAAATTTAGTGCCATTTAATACACATAGGTACAAATTTGCATTACTGCCTACATCATGCAATCCAATGAAAATCTTATTACTCAATTTCAAGATTTCAGCTCTATCGGTTAACTTTTAATCCAAACTGTGCCAAATCTAGTGCCATTTAGTACACATTAGTAGACATTTCCAAAACTTCCTACATACCCCATTCGAACCCCCCAACCACCATTTGGTACCATTTAGTAAACACTATTACGAATGTCCAAAACTTTCTACATAGCCCAATACTACACCCCGACAGTGATCCTAACGTCAAATTTCAAGATTCTAGCTCTATCGGTTTACTCAAATCCACATTTGGTACTATTTTGAAACTGTAACCCTAACTCCAAATTTCAGGATTCCAGCTGTATTGGTGCACCAAAAATTTAAATTGTACAAAATTTAGTACACATTTGTACGAATTTTTAAAACTTCCTACATATCCCAATCCTTCACCCCCACAATGATCCTAAATCCAAGTTTCAAGATACCAATTCTATCGGTTCGCCCACAATTCAAACTGTACAAAATTTAGTACAAAGTAATACAAAATTTCAACACTTCCTACATACCCCGGTCCTACACCCCCACAGTGATGCTAAATCCATGTTTTAGGATTCAAACTCTATCAGTTCACTCACAATTCAAATTGTACCAAATTTAGTACACAGTAGTACTAATTCCCAAACTTCTTGCATACCCCAATCCTACCCCCCACACTGATCCTAAATCCAAGTTTCAGGATTCCAACTCTATCGGTTCACCCACTATTTAAATTGTACCAAATTTAGTACACATTAGTACGAATTTTTAAAGCTCCCTACATATCTCAATCTTAAACCTCAACAATGATCCTGACTCCAAATTTCATGATTCTAGCTCAATTGGTTCACCTAAAATTCAAATTGTACCAAATTTAGTACCATTTAGTACGAATTTCAAAAACTTCCAACTTAACCGAAACCAACACTCCCACAGTGCTCTAAAATCTAAATTTCAGGATTCCAACTCTATCGGTTCACCCACAATTCAAATTGTACCAAATTTAGTACCATTTAGTACGAATTTCAAAAACTTCCTACTTAACTCAAACCAACACCCCCACAGTGATCCTAAATCCAAGTTTCAGGATTCCAATTCCATCGGTTCACCCACAAATTAAATTGTACCAAATTTAGTACACATAAGTACAAAATTTTAGAACTCCCTACATATCTCAATCTTAAACCTCAACAATGACCCTGTCTCCAAATTTTATGATTCTAGCTCAATTGGTTCACCTAAAATTCAAATTGAACCAAATTTAGTACCATTTAGTACACATAAGTAATAATGTCTTAAACTGAGTCCTGACCCCAATCCTATACCACTAAAATGATCCTAACTCCAAATTTCATTGTTTCAGCTCTATCGGTTCACCCAAATCCAAATTGTACCAATTATAGTACGATTTAGTACTTTTCGTACACATAAGTAACAAATTTCCAAAACTACGTACATATCACAATCCTATACTCCGACGGTAATGTTACTTTCAATTTTCAGGATTCTAGCTCCATTTGTACCTCCAAATCAAATTTGTAACAAATATAGTACCATATAGTACTTTTCGTACACATGAGTACACGGTTTCAAAACCATCTCCTTATATCGACCCTACTTCCCAACCCTAATTCGCATTCCAAATTTCAAGTTTTTAGCTTTATCCGTTCTCATGCTACAGAATTGTACCAAATTTAGTACATTTTCGTACATTTCGGATAGTTGTAGTTCGAATTTCCAAAAACCCTTTGGTACATCTATCCTACACTCCATCAGTGACCCTCAATCCAAATTTCAGAGTTCTAGCTCTACTGGTTCGCCAAATACAAATGATATCATATTTAGTACTTTTTAGTACTTTTCGTACCCTTCTAGTACGAATTTCCAAAAACCCAGCCTTATCTGTCACATTTGGGCCAAGAGTGACCCTCACCCAAAATTTCAAGATTCTAGCTTCAGCCGTTTCGTCTGGGCGTTGATGAATCGTTAAATCAGTCAGTCAATCAGTCAGTCAGTCAATCACTTTACTCTTTTATTAGTATAGATTACGTTAATATGTTCATTATATTAATGACACGTATCATCCTAAAAATTAATTTAAAAATATCTGCATAATCTAAATACCACGATGAATCAAATGATATCAAAATCACACAAGTCTGTGTAGCGGTTTGTAAATTACAGCGACAACAAAACAATATATAGAGGAAAAATATTTTTTTTTTTGGTTCGAAGAAATAATGTCATCGTATTTATTTGTTAATTTTATACAAGAAATTTCAGAAAAAAATGTTGGGGTTATTGTTCTATTTTACCCGAATTTCGCCGAAAAATTGTCATATATAAAAATATTCATCGATCTATGCCGATTTCAATATGGTCCATTAAGAACCATGGATGTGCCAGCTCACACTATTTTTGAGATAAATTGGGTACATCTCTCTGTCGGCTGAAGTTTTTAAAGTTCTCTTTTCGAATAAGATCAAAATCCGTATGAGGTCATTTATTGAAGCGGAAATGATCCACAGAAAATTCAATTAAATTCGCGATATTTTCAAAAACATACACAAAATATATATCAAATTACTCAGATTCGCGACTACAATAATCTTATAATCGATTTTTAGAAATTCCTGTTTGCGAATTAAAACTAGGAGTAAAATTCAAAAAACACTCAAAATCGAGCTTCAAAATGACTGCATCTACCGTTGCAGTTAAAATTTTGAAAAATGATACATAAGGGCCGTAGTCCTCATTTTGTTGGCTTCTAGTTTTACTTTGACACGAAGACCGTGAAATGAGTGGGTTAATCTCAAATCGATAGAGAACATAAAAAAACTGGTTTGCCTCAACCTGTTTTTACACATTTTTTTACATGAAAGTAGACACAGCTTCCACCAAAATAAAGTTTGGAGGTCAATATCATGAACAGTTTGCAACGACAGAATTAACCCAAAACTATTCACTTTTTTTCATATAATTAAGTAATTCCCGAGTTATAAAGGGGTGAACCTCCGCTTCAGCTATGTTAAAAAATTGGCAATATTGCCCATATATCCTCAGCATTTGGTTCAAAATGGGCATTCCATTCGGCTGATATTGGATTTATAAATATTGACAAATTTTATCCTTTCTGGGGGAGGTACTAGAAGGTAATAGAGATAGGTGATACAGATAGTTCGTTCGCTTGATATTAGGTTCGTTCGTTTACTTTCC